CACTGCGCTTTCTAATCTGGCCTGCCAAACACTATTACCTTGTATGATACAGGCTGATGTCAATCATTTTATTGTCATACATTACAACAATTTGGCTGTAGTTTCTGTTGATGCCACTAGATGGTGGTTGACATCGAACGGCTCAAATTATCTTTGAAAGTTTATATGCATTTTTATATATTTTATTTTTACTATTTCGCCCTGCATTCCACATCCAAACAATACTGAAACTGCCCACCAGTCAAATTTCAAACCTCATGTTGGACTGGACGTTTGCCAACCCCTGGTCTACACACATTCATCTGGAGTGCGGCTCCATTTGCTGTTGTTTACAGGCAGGTGTGTGTTTTTACACAACTGTATCCACTGAAGTCTGATGTACGTCACATGTTTATTACCAGGATAATTAGTGCAAGTTGTCTTTGATCAGAAACAAAGTAATCACCAGGGGATTTTTGGTGATGTCTCTCCAGTGCCACAGTGTTGAAAAAGAGGTCAGCTATTTGGAGCAGCTAAATATATTTTTCACAGGGTTCTCCTTCTCCTTGGGAGGTGAAAGTCAGCACCGGTGCTAATAAAGAGCTGACTTGTACTGTGAGGCCAAGCTATTACTGTTCTCAAAATTGGTATTGGTCTGACACTGATGACTAACAGACAGTGTATTCTCCACAGTATCTGACATATTGGACTAGTAGATGACCACAAAGTTCTTAAAAAATACCTTTGTCTGGTCAGTTTAATGAATTTGATTATGAGAAAAACCAAATGTTATACTCTCTCGACGCCATGAAAGATAAATATCAAGAAACTGTGATCTTTAGTTTCTGATTAAAGAGATGACATATTTAGACCTGGTTTGTTTGTCTGAGTGAAGTTTGGTGTAAATTGCTCTGAGTATGCAAGAAGGAAAACAAAAGATGACCCACCAATGCCTGTCCGTAACCATTAGTATTGTAGACTCTGCTTCGAAGCTCGGCAACGGTTTAGGGATGTAGTGTTGAAGAGTTGCTTAAACTGATGGAAGTAATAAGTAACAAGTGTCAAAAACATTTGACTCCTTTTTCACTTTTTTGTCTGCAGTATAGCTACAGTGTGTGGTTCCCTGGAGAGTCAGGCTCTGTTCAAATGTTTTTGATCAAAAGGCAGAGAGATGACAGAAACTGCAGTTGTCAGTGAAGAGTGTATTGTGTAAGCTCCTGTAAATATATGCAAATCCCAAACCAGTTGTGATCTTCTCCGTGTATTAAGTGCTGCCGCACTTTTCTCCTCCTTTGGAGAGGCAGAAATAATCCCAAAAACACACACTTTTCAGTCACACAGAAATAATCCCAAAAACACACACTTTCAGTCACATTATTGCTTTGCAGTAAAAAAATAAAAAATACAAATTGAAGAGGCTTTAACACCAACCAGTTTAAACACACACACATCAAACAAGTCCAAACACACACCCAGTGTGCTGTGCAGTGTACCATTGTCTGCAACATAAGGATTACAAATTCCCAAATCATCGGTCTGTGATTATCTCACAAAAAACATCCTCCAGATTAACTGAACCTTTTCAAAATTATTTTCCAACAGAATCATGGAAATTCACTACACAGACCTAACGCAAAGTATTTTTCATGGTTTTGTTATTTTGGGCTGACCCGCTCAGCACTAGAAGCAAGAATTTCCCTCATTTATTTCTGTTTTCGTGAGGATTTCTGAGAAGAAAAATACTGCTTTCATTTAAAAGCAGTCAGATGTGACAGAAGCTTAACACCTGGTTTCCCACAATCCTTTCTGTTTCCAAGATTTGCACTTTGCGGCCGTCCTTTCTTTCATAATTTAGCACTTCAGACTCCTTTATAGAAGGAATGCACGCTGATGTGTCATCCGGTTATGAAACCTCCTCTACTTTATTCTTTCATTACTCTTTCTTCGTTCATGTTTCAAATTTCCTCTCTTGCCATTTCTCTGTCACTTTCAACTTTGTGCAATATATTATATTTTATTTATGATTTATTATCTATCTATCTATCTATCTATCTATCTATCTATCTATCTATCCATCCATCCATCCATCCATCCATCCATCCATCCATCCATCCATCCATCCATCCATCCATCCATCCATCCATCCATCCATCCATCCATCCATCCATTCATCCATCCATCCATCCATCTATGTACATGACTCATAAAGTTCATTGGCTTTGTTAGAAATTGTGAACACATCAGATCAATAATTGTCTTTGTTCCTGCTTATACTTACGTTGTGTAGTGTAGTGACTGTTTGTTACATGGTGTGATCCATTTCTCCTGTGCACAGGATCAGTGCTAAAGAACAAACTTTAGTGTTTGCCTCGGTGTCAGTGACTCTGACAGTGAGTCAGTGGATGTGCTGGTAAAGGTTTAGGGGAGAACATGAATTCTGGGAGTAAAAGAAAGAAAGGAAGAAAGAACACCCAGTCTCCGCTGTCTTCTTTGACACGTTTTTGTGGAATTATGTGTTTGGGATTTTAAAGGCAGAGAACACAGCAGGGGCCGGGGCGGCCTGAAGGACGAGGGAGGTTGGCTTTTGATAAAGTGTGGAGTGCTTTGAAGACTTTAGACAGGGGTAGACGTTTGTGTTGAAAGTAGAAGAGGAACTCCTGCCGAAATAACACTTGATAGTGCTAGTTACATACTGGTCATTTTTCTTTTTTTTTCTTATAATATATTCACATTTTTATTAAAGGGACAATTTGAATTGTCTTTGGTAAAGGGCAAATGTCAATTTTTGGGGATTTTATTTATTTTTTGTATTTTAGCGTTTGCTGACCATTAGACTTTTACAGACACATTTACATAGTTGTGTAGAACTTACTTAAAAATATAATTGTATTTTTGTGCTTTTTACTTTTTTTATAATATTTTCTTTTTAATGTTATGCTACATCGGGGCATTTTCTTTTGCTTTAGCTTTTTTTTTTTGGCTAAATGTATCTTTTACCCTGTTCAACTAAAATATATTTGAATTCCATATTAGTCATATGAGTCAGTAAACTACATCTTAAATAGTTGTGGTATTTTTTTTATAGAATGATTCCCTTCCCTGTAAACTTAAGCCATGACCCTCTTTTTGTCACATTTAAGCACATGATTTAATAATTCTTTGCTAACTGTTGATATTTTTGCATAACTATTTCAACTAACCTAAAGACCAATAGTCAAAGATGCCACACCTTTGATTGACCTGTTGGACTATTTCACAATTTCATTCATCTGAAGACTTGGGAGTTGTTCACTCTTTGATAGTTATGCTGGACTCAGTTCAGGAAAGAAATATGGATAAATAAAAACAAAGTTTTAGTTTCTTCATTTGAACACCTTTTCTTACTTTAAGTACAATGTTTCCTTAAGAAAACAAATCCATGTTTAGTACGACCAAAAGTGAATCAGTGAGGCAGGAATCAAATAGAGAGCCAGACCTCTGTGTGCATCTCCCTGCAGCATTTTGCTTCTGGCTTACTGCTAAGACCCTAACATTCTTTTTGCTGTAGCTAATGTGGTTACATTTCCATTATATCAGAGAGTGTTGCCACAGCCAACTGTGCTGAAGTGCCTAAAGTATTTACACCTCACTGAGCTTGTACCCAAGTCTCGATTCCAATCCTCTTTGTCAGCAACTCGTCTGGGGTTTTATTGTGAAGGAAGGAAATGACTCATTAGATGAATTACTTTTGGAGGTCACATATGTCTGCGTCACTAAGGCTGATTAACTTCCCTTTGATCAATACACATTTACAAGTAACATGCCATTCTGCTGATTCTGGTGCTATGTTTGAGAAACGGCCTGCAACCTCTGGATTAGACTCAGACTCTCAGTGTCCTCCTGCAGCTCCAGACCACAGATTATATGAAGTCCCCGGTCTGTGCATTAATGGATGTTAGAGGTCATCAAAGCTGCTGTATGTGCAAGGGCAAAGGTCATGCATTATAGAAAAAAGGTGAGTTTGCAACAGTCATCAGAATCATAGTGCAGCCATCGCAAGCAATTGTTGCATATGTTGATCTGATCTAGCTAATCAGGCAACTTAAATGGATTCAAATGAAGGTTGCTTCAGACAAGGTTGTGTCCTGTATAAGGAGAACAATGTCCCCCCACAGTCTCATCAAACGTCCTGAGGAGGACCTCAATAGACCTCAGCTCAACAGAATCCATCTGCATCAACCGTTTGTGTCTGATGGACTTGTTCATACAGTAGCTAGTTACCTTGGTAAATACAAGGATCATTTTATTTTTTGTTGATCTAAACACAACATTGTGTTTTCAAGCAATTTGTAATTAATCCGTAAATATTTAAATTTCAGGCTTTCACCCTCTTTGATTTCTAAATACATCAAATTCTATTCTATTCTATTCTATTCTATTCCACCTCGTCCATCCGTCCATTTCCTAGCCCCACATTCATTTCACTTTCTAATACAAAACACATAAAGGACCACTCGAAACGTGGTGTAACTATTTTTCTATTATTCTTCACCGTGTCCTGTCAGTCTATGACTTCATACTGATAAATGATGTGTGTCCAGTGTAATTAGTCAGCTCCACACATGAGCAGGAAACATGTTTGTCAAGGAGAAACCCGGGCCAGCTTTATTAATGTGGGCTGTACAGAGGTACATGTTTGGACATGGATATTGTAGAGTAGGACAAACTCACGTGCACCTTTGGTAGATTATAAAAAATCACAGAGCTCCAGTAAATATTTTATTTCCAGACTGGTGATCTGTTAAACGCTAACAGTGGAATACAAGCACTCCCTGTGCAGGAGTTATGAAAAGCTCTCCATTAATCAGGAGGAGCTTGAACTGGAAAAAGATGTTCCCTAACAGCCGAGTGTGGCACTAATGTGCACTAAAAGCAATAAAGACTTTGGCTTGAAACACTCTCCTATGACGTATGGCTGTGTGTGCTCTGTGTGTGTGTGTGTTCACCCTCCAATGTAACATCACTCTGCCCTTCTGTTCCAGTCTGTTCACAGTTCTCCAGAGGAGTCTACGCCATTTTCGGATTCTACGATAAGAAGTCCGTCAACACTATCACGTCGTTTTGCGGGACGCTCCATGTTTCCTTCATCACTCCCAGCTTCCCTCTGGATGGGATTCAGCAGTTCATCATCCAGATGAGGCCTGACATCAAGGGGCCGCTCCTGAGCCTCATCGAGTACTACAAGTGGGACAAGTTTGCATATCTGTACGACAGCGATCGAGGTAGGAGGCTCAAAATGTTGTCACTTTTTAAACAACGTTTCAGGGTCATAGTACATAACGTTGAATTTTAAGTCATATGTTTTGCTAAATTTTTAGCTTCTGGGTCTAGCTTAGGTAGTTTTGCCATAGATTTTGCTACAGTTGTGGTTTTTAGCTCTTGTCATTTTTTAATTTTTCTTTTTTGTATATACCCTTTCTATTTATCGGCTAACTTGTTTGGTTTGGGCTTAACTTTTGGGCTTAACTTTTATATAATATTTTTAAGATTTTTGCCAAATAAAGATAACTCTTTTTAGCCTCTTTTTTTGTTTTTATTTCTAACAATTTTTTAGCTATACATAGCCTATTACTGTCTTTCATTTGACTATTACTAATAAGTGTTTAAGATTTGAGGTTTTCAGCAAACACTTTGAAAACCTTCTACGCAAAAACAGTTTAGTTTTTCTTTAATTATCGTCACATTAGCGCCACTTGGCAAATAAGGCAGTTAGTGATATTGTGATAAGTCATGAAATGCTCATAGTAGACAAATAAACTAGAAAAACTAGAGTTAAATATTACCAATGTAACAATTTTATTTTGGTCAACGCGTCATGATCCTACATCAAGAGGCAGAATATACTCATTGTAAGGTAGCTACAGATAATTTAGGCTTCACTAATTTTTTTTTTTTTTTTTTTTTTTTTTGCATACAGTTATTCAGAGTCTCCTCTGTGGAGAGTGTGTTTTTTGGAGAGTACATGTTTTTTTCAGACTAATCTGTCACAGCAGATGTGCTCTATTCAGCCCTGCAGCTATTGACTTTCACCCTCTTATCGAAGGAATGGTATTTGTTTTCAATACAGTTTCAGAATATTACAGTGACGCAAAAGGAAAAATAAAACCAGTAGGAACACGTCTACCTTTCTGAGTACAAACCTGTAATTGATGAATTAACAATACTGAACTAAATTGACTGTTGCCCTTTAACTGATATGTGGGATGCATTACCAGTTTGAAATACTGCATCAGTGTCAGTGAATATCCAACTTATGAAGCAGGGAAGAATCAATTGTGAGACAGCTCTAAATGAACTTCAGTGTGTGGTCGTTATAAATCTTTGCACTTATCCTAGGTGATTTTATGTATAAATAAAAATAAAAACATGATGCTCCTATTTGCATTGCAACTGTAGAATTGCTCCTCCGACCCGGAAGGTCAGCACAGCCTAGTGATGGTGCACTGGGAAAACACATACTGTATGTAACCAATCACAACCTGTCGTTCACTCTGTCAGTAAAATCATTTGCTCTGTTTATCAGTCTGATCATTCAAACGCTGAAAAATCAATAACCTGCCATCAATGATCTTGTTCTAATCAGATATATATGCACCAGAAATGACTGCCCTGAATGGGGTTCTGTCATGAATATATTCTGATCAGTCTCCAACTCTAATATCCTGACTGTATTCAGACTCAGATCTAATAGTTATTTCACTTTATTATTTCTTCTTTTTTTAGCCCAACCAGGATGTCAATTGGATGAAATAGGATTTTTTCTATTGTCTGCAGCTGTAGACTCAAAGACAATTCTATGATGTCATTGCTTTTTATTAATAAAGTAATTTAAAAAATAGACATATTTTTTTTCATTTCATTGTAAAGTAAAATATATACTAATGTAAAAGATAACAGCAAAGACTGAATTCTGTGTGATCTTGATTTGCTTCGTCTTTCTAACACAATCTAATTATGACTCGGTGTCACCTGCAGTACTGATGTTAAAAAAAGAAATGTCTTTAACGGATAGAGTTATGTTGTATTAAAATACTGTTGATACAAGTGAGCGGTATAAGAAAATCTCCACAGTATTTACTTAGATAGGAGTAAAAGTCTCACTTATGCTCTTTTTGGATGAAGTAGAAATAAAATTGGCCTTGAGATAATCAAAATGTAGCAGTAAACATTTAACAAAGCAATAAAAAATAGAAAACATTTAAAAATGCAATGAAGATAGGAACAAGTGAAGTGAAATATAAAGCAAAATAAGGTAAATATAGAGATTATTAAACCATAATTTAATTATTAACCTCAAAAATGGGTTGAAATTAATTAAACATTTAGGTAAAAGTTGGGCTGATTATGGGTAAAATACAATAAATAAGTAAATAAATAAAAGTAAGTTTTTGCACAAAGAAAATCTAAATTATTTTACCATGATTATACTTTAATTATACAGTATATTAATTCTTACAGTAGAGTGTAAAATACTAATTATACTTTTATGGACTAAATGAAACCTTTCCAAGTGTAACACAAGGCTCCGGGGCTAGACTTATGACCTGCTTTAGGATACTCCATGAATTCCTAATTGTCAGGAAGTGATTCCACTCAAAGAGAAGTGGGATTTCCTCTATACATAAATGTTTATGCTGAAGATTCAGCGTTATCACTGAAAGGATTTAGAACCTTTTCATCCGTACCCATCCTCCCATCCCAGTCCACCTGCCCATCTTTTCATCTTTAGTCGTTCTAGTCGGCCCCTCCTCCTCTTCCCCGGACTGACAGCACCGTTCTTCCCCAAAACAGGCAGCAGGTTTCCAGCAGCTGGTCTGGACTGTCCTCATGCTGACCTGCTGTCTCTCCTGTACGTCGGCGATGACTCTAAAGAGCTTGTTGTGCATATTTCATCATTGCATGGCTGTCTAATTAGGTCAGTGTGATCCACTCATTCCCATGGCAACTGAAGTGTGGGAAGAGAGACAGAGCGGCAGGAAGAGATTGTCAGTGACTGAGCAGGTCGGTTAATGATGTGAGCGTGTGTGTGTGTGTGTGTTTGTGTGTGTGTGTGTGTTTGTGTGTGTGTGTGTGTTTGTGTGTGTGTGTGTGTTTGTGTGTGTGTGTGTGTTTGTGTGTGTGTGTGTGTTTGTGTGTGTGTGTGTGTTTGTGTGTGTGTGTGTGTTTGTGTGTGTGTGTGTGTTTGTGTGTGTGTGTGTGTTTGTGTGTGTGTGTGTGTTTGTGTGTGTGTGTGTGTTTGTGTGTGTGTGTGTGTTTGTGTGTGTGTGTGTGTTTGTGTGTGTGTGTGTGTTTGTGTGTGTGTGTGTGTTTGTGTGGGAGCGGGGGAGGATATCTTACAAAAGAGGAAGGAGTGAAAATGCCGCTGGTTATCATGAATTTTATTGGCCCATTAAAGGAGAAAACTAGTCTTTTTCAACACAAAGCGGTGTTGTTTTAAGGTCACAGTGTACTGCCAGTAGAAAAAGACAATAGCATCTGGGCAAATGTATTTTTTGATAACATTGTCCACCTGTTACAAAGTTTGAGTTTTAGAACATGGCTTTCCCCTTATTAACATGCTCAAAATCATTACAAATGAGTTGTGACATGAATTGAAAGACAATACTGTGTATTTTTAATTCAGTAATTGTAAATGAATTGTGAAAAGTGTTTAATAACAGACAAGAGTTTAAAATTTCATTTTCATTTCAACTGCCAAGTTTTTAATGGTCTCTAATCTAATATGCTACTAAATATGTTTAGAAAATGTTTTCTTATTCTTCAAAACTAAGATGTTCTTTGCACAAAACAAATACATTTAACAATTTACTGCCATAGCAGCGTAAAAAATCAGAACATTTTTGCATTTCACAAGCTTTAATCAATGCATTCCATGCAAAACAGCTGCTTTACTGGATGTATAAATAAATAAACATAATGAAGTAATTTTCAGGTCGATACACAAGTCCTTTCAATAAGGACTTGTGTATAAGGTGATGTGTGAGGAGATAAGGACCAGACAGTCTACCTCCAGCCCTGGTGCATTAGATGGAATTGAATGAAATTGAATGAAATGGTTGGACGGACATTAAAAGAAAAAAAAATCAATGCATTATTTAGAAAACAGTACGTTAAAGGAAAGAGATTAAGGGTAAAACTGGGCTGCATTAGTTGGCACTGAGCTGCTTTGGCCTAATGAATTATTCATATGTATCCACACTTGCCTGTTCTAAATAGTTTATATTATGCAAATGCTCAAACCTTCATGCAGCCGCTCATTGAGATGTTTTTGATCAATGGGTTCCCGCACTAAGCTTTAACAGTAAATGCTGTGCGTATGTGTGATCACTGACATAAGTAGAATTAATCTCTCTCACCGGCTAAACGCTCACAGCCCATACGAACGCTCCGCTTCTATGTCAGAAGGCCAGAAAACATAATGTTACTCTGCAAAGTAGACCACGTCTCCTTAATCTCCACTGACCTTTAAAATCTGGGACGTTTTGAGGGGTAAATGCACAGACACAGAGACTCCTCTTCTCTCCGGTGCAGTGGTTTTTCTGTGCCGGTTCAAATGACTGGCTGTGTTGTTGGCTGTGAGCCAGATTGTGACATATGTTTCAGTCTCACCATAAGTGATATCAAACGAGGCGTATTGGTGGATCAGTGAAATCAGGCTCACACTATAGTCCATCATCAAGACATTCAATGCTGATTCATCTTATGTTTAATCTTTATTAGAGCCAGATGCTGAGATGACTGGTGTGTAAAGTGCCCATTCAATCAGATTTTAGATGTAAGCTACTAAAATAATATAACAACATGAATGAAAAGATCTATGAAATGCATGTTGCAGGTTAAGATTTAGGACTCTCTAATGTTAAAAATATAAATTAAAAGACATCTATAGTTGGCTCCAGCTTTAGTTTTAACAGTGTCTTTGGCTGTTGCACAACTGAAAAATTAATGTAGATAAGTTAAATCCTTCACGGACTGCATCAGGACATGAAGGATGGTCCTAAACCAGGTAATAACATTTTTATGAGAATAACTGTCCTTTATTTGTCATTAAAAAAAAAAAAAAAAAACTAAAATTAGCATTTAGCAGCGTCATGTTCACTTTTGGTTGCTGACAAACAAGCATCTAAATGTGACAAAACTCAGAGGCAGGAATTAAAGAGTGTGATGCATCTTGGACAATCAAACAGTTTAATTCATAGCCCACAATGTCAGTCTCTTAGCAGCTGCCACTCATAGACTGCCAGTCCAGTATGCAACTTCACTAGGCTAGTGTGATGTTGTGTTTAACTAAAAAGGCCACATTTCACTGACCTGCATGATTCTCTGCTTCATGCACGGCTCTGTCCGATCAATCGTTGAAGATGTTAACCAAATTAAATAATGTGAAACACAAAAGTAACATTCACCAGTATGTCTGTGATACCCCCTGGATTTTAGTTATTGCCAGTCACTCTCACTTCCAATTATCTCCCTTAATAGGCATTGATCAATCAGCCACATTTAAACAGGGCGTAATGACTTTGGTGTTACAATGACGTATGGTTCATTCAGATAAAACTGCCAAGCCTCCTGTTTCCTTCACGGCGTCATAAAACCACCTCGGTTGTAGCATGAAATTGATTACATCTCTAATTCACTTGACTGTGGTGAGGTGAAATGAAACACTCGGCCATTTTATCAAACCACAATTTAACTGCTCTCTGCAGGACCAGTAATCAATATTAGCTCAGATTCAACCATGCACTGAGACACAGAGGGTGATTGGATTATAAGTATATAAATGGACATAAATGGAGAAAGGATGGACCTGGAAAAGATGGAACAAATTCATTGTTTGGGGGGAATAAAAGAACCACAGTCCATAAATTAGGTTTCAGTCACCAGAAGGTGAGACTCTTCATTTGGTGGTTTATATTTGCTATGGATTTAAAAATGAAGTATCTGATGTAGATGAACAGACTGGATGTTTACACAGTGACTTGAGCGGTTGTTGTCAAGTCTTTAGAGTCTTTGTCTGTCTCCAAGTTACCAGTGTTCAGGTCTTGAGTCCAATGTAGTCTTGAAAGTCAAATCCACCTAGAATGGCTGGGAGATGGAGCCAATCTCAGCTGTCAGAGGCGGCTCACACCCTGGACACTTGCCAGTCCATGGAGGGCCACATATTGAGACAACCATTCAACTACCATTATTAGCTATGGTCAATTGAGTGTGTGATCAACCTAAACCCATGAGCATGAGCAAAGTACCTCAAGTGGTGCTAGTCAAGGTGCTACAGACATATGGTCAGGACACCTACTGGCTGCTCTGGGGAGTTGTTCTCAACATGCCCATCTGTGAGGACACTCTCGGCAGAACAGGCCACAATAGAGAGAACACATTTGTGATGTAGATAGAAGGTGGTTGTGGTTTTCCTTTGAGACTGAAGAAGCAGAGCTGGATGAGACAGGACCAGGCGTCCACACTGACTAAATAAAGCGAGAGTATGAAATGTCTGTTGCTGATGCAGTCAAACAAACCACTCAGTCTGACTCTACACCCACATGAGCTGCAGGTGTTCATGCCCAAACACCTGTGACTCATTAGTTTGAAAAAGCAGAAACTGAGCAGTGAAAAAAAATTGAGCAAAGTCATTTTCACGGTAATTTAATCCCTTTTTTTCTCCACCCACAGGCCTGACCACGCTGCAGGTTGTCTTGGACACAGCAGCAGAGAAAAAATGGCAGGTGACAGCCATCAATGTGGGAAATCTCAAAGACGAGAGAAAGGACGAGGCTTATCGCTCGCTGTTCCAGGATCTGGAGAACAAGAAGGAGCGGCGGGTGATCCTGGACTGTGAACAGGACAAAGTCAAAGACATTATGGACCAGGTAAGGATTAGTTCACTATGTCGTTTTATTTCAAAATAAAACAGGTAAAACACTAATGAAAAGCCACCAGACTTCTATCAAGACCTTATAAATAATCAATCTGCAAAATTGTGATAATAACACGTGAGAATTAGAAAGATAGATAGATAGATAGATAGATAGATAGATAGATAGATAGATAGATAGATAGCTTATTATGAAATGATCATATACCAATTAATCAGTGAAAACACTGGAATATAAATCCCTCAGAATTCACTTTGAGGGAATTTAAGAAACCCTAACATCAGAGGTTTGAGGGAATTTAAGAAACCCTAACATGGTTTATACCGGGTTTATACCGGGTCAGACATGTTTTATTTGTTTTCTGAATACGATGTTGTTTTTGTATTTTTAATCATTTTCCAGCCTATGTTTTAGGTCTTAATCTTACTCATACTCATTAACCTAACAAATATAACTGTTGTTTTTAAATGACTCCTGGGTTTTAAAATAGGTTGCACATAAATGATGGTGGATTTGAGGTTTGCATTATCTAAATTATAGGCCATTAGTGTGCACAGTATTCCCAGAGCTGATAATTATATGTAATTTATTGACCTGTATACAAATTATGCTACAGTAAGGTGCACATTTAACTAGTTTGATGGTGTTGTCAGCTCTGTCACGCCACACAAAACCACACAACGTCAGTGATTAACAGTCGAACAGGGTCACAGATTCACAGAGGCTCTGGGATAAAAAGCAAAAAGCCTCCTCTAATTCGTCATAGATGTAAGTCTCCTGAATGAAAGACATTGTTGCAAGACTTAGTATCATGTAACTGTGGCTAAAAAGATTAAAACTGACTGTTATTTGAAGAATGTAAGTATTAAAAAAATAAACTACATTTAAATATTTACCTGAAATTCTTCAAAATTAAATAATAATATCAATGAAATAATCCAAAATATAACTTGTTAGGCTCGAGAAAAAAATCTCAAAAAAATCTCAGGGTTTTTGAAATAACATAAAAATATCAAACTTCGGCTCAGCATTAGATGCCAATCTTTTAAAAAGGAAACAAACCAAAATCCTCAAAGACATAACAGCACAGTAAAGCTATCAAGTTGGAATCACCGTCTTTATAGTAATGTAACAGTAGCAGTATATTTTTTTAGTATTTCTCTAAAACTGTCCCGAAACTGAAATGTGGCTGAAACTAGCTGACAATTTTCCGCCTGGTAACCAGGAGTCCATTTAGATAAGCACTGCAGCATCCATCGTAATTGTCCTTCTGAGCTGCACAACAAACTACAATTAAGGACGAAGCCGATTCACCCATACAGGTTATTTTTACTCCACTCTTTACCCGGGAGAAAAGCTTATCGATAAACATTTAAAACATGCTGACATGTGTTTCCATAACGGCAGACTTAATCAATGACAGTGGCCCCGGTGCCTGTTTATCTGGGAAATAAACACATCATCATTCAGGTGTTTGTTGTTTTGTTTTGTTTTTTTCTTTCTCAGCTAACATCAAAATTATTTTACACGCTTGATAAAGGGCATTATTATTCAAATCCGCCTGCAGCAGCAGCCCCGATGAACAGAGGTGCCACTCAAACTGTGAGATTACTTCCAGGCGTGACATTTATGTGAGATGGAGAAATGTTACAGACAGAAGAAATAATTCCTTTATTTTCCTTTTGTCTGGTTCTCCACTGATAAGGAAGGTAAAAGATTTGGATTGGTCTGCAATTGTGGCTCTGAGAACTCAAGAGTCATCTGTGTGATAGCTGTATTGTTTTATTTTTAGAAAATATTCTCATTTTTGGATGTTGCTGTTGTATTAATACCTGTATTCTATCTCTCATAATAAATTTATATAAAATGAACCACACTTTCTAGGAGCCACTTTTAATTACATAGAAACCCAGAAATAATTTTTCATTGTGCATTTAATTTTGACATATTTAAGGAATGCTAAGCCAATGTTTTAATTGAAATTATTATAAAATAAGACACCAGTAGTTCGGTTTTACATAGATCTTGAAACTTTTTTCATTTGCATTTTTAAACTGCATAAATTAAAATGAGGAAAACTAAAAAATGAACAACTGAAACTTTCAAATAACTACTGGAAACTTTAGAGATAGAGTTTAGAGTTATTATTTTTACTCCATAGGCTTTAAAAATCTAAAAGATTAGTTTGAGTGAGGTAATGGCCGTTGGCTGTGATTTAGCCAAAAAAAAAAAAAAAAAAAAGGTAGGGAGAAAAACTATTCAGTTAAAATGAACCTTTACCATAATACCACTGAGACCGATCAAAATACTACTGTTATGTAAGATTTGTAAAAACAAGGACTAACAAAGAATGTTCAGAAAAAGATGCCAAATAACAATTGGTAATGGTATATTAAGGGTATGCAGTCGAAGGCATCGTCATTGCAGAATTATGGAAGGAAAACAAACACTTGGTATAAAGACTTGAGAAACCTGCTATTGTCATTTAAATTACATATATTCTACATTATATAAGATGGAAAGACTTCTCCTGAATTGAGTAGATTTCCTTCCTTAATGGTTTAATATTAAAAAAAAATCACATTTGACTCTCTGGACATGGCTGTTACATTGGACATCATGTCCACATGTTTATAATATCAAGCTGTATTATCACATAAGGATGATTCCTGATATTTTTAACATGTATTTTTTCCATAATTGCAGGTCATCACGATTGGCAGACATGTGAAAGGCTACCACTATATTATAGCCAATCTGGTAAGTTTATAGTTGTATTGTATTGTATAGATTTATTTTGGTATTATTTATCTTATTGAATTGTTATGATTATTAAATACACATGTGTAATGATATGACACATTCCTTTTTATTTCTTTGAAGGGTTTCGTCGATGGAGATCTATCTAAAATTCAGTACGGCGGTGCAAACGTGTCCGGTTTCCAGATCGTCGACTTCGAGGATCCTCTGGTGTCCAAGTTTGACCAGAGGTGGGAGGCTCTGGAGGAGAAAGAGTATCCAGGTGCCGACAGTAAAATACGGGTGAGTGTGAGCATGGCAACATGGGTTGACCACATGCGTGCAGTGGTAAAGTTTGTACTTTAATCAACTGTACTTGCGGTGTAACGTTTTGGTGAGAAACAACTCCCTAAGCACTTTTATTGGCCGCAGCTGCTCTAATGTGTTTGTAACTTCAGCGGAACACTGTGCTGCCTCCATCTGCGACCTGTCAAATTTACACTTGCATGAACACAGTGTGTGCATTATTAAACACCTTTGTCAGTAAACATCTCTATGCACTAATACACTTACATATGGTACATATGCTGTGAGCTTAGTGGTTTTTCCTCCTGTGCTTTTATTATAAATACTTTAAAATATGGTGACATTGCCTGCAAATAGCATGACATTAAAGTTTACCTGACAAGGGGTTTAATAATCCAACTGAAATTAAATAATTACATTTTGTAAGAACTGATTTAAAAATGTCCAGGCTGTTTTTCTCTGTTTTTCTTAGAGTATAAGCTAGTAGTGTTAGCTAACAGGAGACTAATAATTGACTTAATCTTAAGAATTGCATATTGAAAATAACATTACAAACAGCTACAGCTAGGTCAGCAAAATGTAATATATGTAAAATATTATCATGGTTTTAAGAAGTTAGACAAAACACCTTAACACCACGACTCTTAATCATAATATATGAGAATTTCTATTGGCAAAATGCCTTGGAAACATGTTTTAATTTTCTTTTCACCCAGATTCTCACTTATATTTTCATCAACATTGACTGTATGACCAAAATCATTCTTCTTTTTGTCACTGAACAAACAGGCAGCTTGACTTTCTCAGTTACTTTAGCCAAATGCAGCCATACATAGCAGTTAAGGACAATATAATAATATCATTAAGCTGATGAAGAGTCTCAGTTTTGTGTCTTATGTCACAAACTTTTTGGAGCTGTTTATTTTTGTCCTGAAACATTTAGAATTTTTCAACAAATTTCTCGGCACTAAAAGTTTTTTTTTTTTTTTTTGTAACCCAAGCAAGGTTTTTGCTCCTGAGCCATTATTTAACCTGAGGCACAAACCAGTGCTGCTGCTCCAGTGTGGGTTCTCACACTGTCAGAGATTGTTACTCAGAAATGTAACTATCATCAATCTCTGGACGCCTGAGAAAGCCATGGTGTTTCTGCCTAATGAGACCCTAAGGAATGTGTTTTAAATAAATGATCAAATCTTAAAAAATATATGTTATTACTTTGCAAAAGCCATACTATTTTATATGAATGTAAAAGGATGATGGTTCCGCGACACTCTTGTGTCGCAGTTAAAAAAATATTTAAAAATTAAAATGTACTGTGTGCAATGTGCACTATATAAAGATGCAGTGTGAAAATCTATTTCTACCAAATTCCAATCATCACTTTCTCCATCTGTTTTCCGTGTCATCCAGTACACATCAGCGTTGACTTACGACGCCGTGCAAGTGATGACAGAGGCTTTCCGATACCTGCACAAGCAACGTATTGACTTCACCAGGAGGGCAAACAATGGAGATTGCCTTGCTAACCCTGCAGTGCCCTGGGCTCAAGGCGTGGAGATCGAGCGAGCGTTGAAACAGGTAAAACGCAGAATAAGGCATGAAAAAAAAAACCCAGACACAGACACGTGTTGCTGTGGTAACAGCAGATCTCCTTGACAACATACACAAACACCCACCAACGCACAAAGTACTTCACAGAGAATGATAAAAAATACTTTCTTTCAGACTGTGGTATACTTTGTGCTATTCTTCAGGTACAACACACAGTCCTCTGAGCTTTGATGCAAGGCCAGATTTGCTTCAGTCTTGTGGAGGAATTTAGATTTTATTTTCTTCTTTTGATGTAATATTTTTTGGAGTTTGTAGCCTTCAATATCAAACTTGGATCAAACATCCACACTGATTTGATGCGTAGAAAAGTGACGGTTTTAAATAAAAGCCCTTTTAGTGCAAATATGAACCAAATCTCTGCTTGGTTGATATGGTTGATATGATTGATCTTGACGTTATCTGGAAACTGACAGGTTGCTGAGATCCTTAAAAAGAATATTTTTTATACCACCTTAGCTGTGACTTTGTTCCATTAATTTAATCATTTGATTGGGTTGCAAAGGTTCAACCCAAGTAACAACCTGCTCCTTTGTCTGGTCTAATCACTTCAATTGTGCACCTTTCTAATGTTGATTCAGTTTTTGGAAATTAAAAAAAAAACTGATGGGAAGGGATCAGGACTGTCAGATGGGTATGGGCGGTTTTCCTCTAAGATAAAACTTACAATCCAATAAAATGGACAAATATCACAAACAAAAACATCAAACCTGTTCAAGATGCCTGACAGACGTGCCTTTTCATTTTTGTTAGCGAAAAGTTGCCACCCTAAGAATAAAAAGAACATTTTTCTATCGTTGTATTAGTCAAACCTGTGAACGATTTACCCAGAATGCTATTAGGCTACTAGTCTTAATGCTACGGCAGAAATAAAGTTAAGATTATAGGTTGCTATCTCTGTTGATGTGCTTCATCAATAAAATGAATGTCAATATTCTTTAAACCTCCAGGTCAGAAATCCATCAGTGGTTTTTATTGATGAAGTTGTTTACATCTCTGTCCGATTCAGCATTTCAATAGTAACTGAAGAACCAAGTCGATAATATGAAGCATCATACTGTACTCGAGCACTACTAGAGTACTAGAGTTTCAGTAAGGTGTAGTTTATTAGTTAGGTGCAGTTAGTCTGTTCCCTTTCCTATTTTAACATTGTGCTCCCTTCTATCATCAATTCATTTCTCTCGTGGTTCCTTTTTGTACTTTTTTCCCTCAGGCATTAATTTTCCAACCTCCTCTTTTCCTGCAGTTTTGCCGATTATTTCTTCTTTTCATTCAGTTTCCATCTTCTTTCGTCTTCTACCAGTATTTATAACCAATCCACTTTTTCTTCTTTCACTACCAATCGGTCTTCTTCCTTTCTCCTCCATCTCCTTGGTTTAACGTTCATGTTGCTGAACACTATCCAACCAACATCTTCTTTACATTGTCGACCTGTATCACTTTCCTTCAAGGTTCGGGTGGAAGGCCTGACAGGAAACATTCAATTTGATCAACATGGAAAGAGAGTTAACTACTCAGTTAACGTCATGGAGTTAAAAACCAATGGTCCAGTGAAAGTAAGTGTTCCAGTGACCTTTTTATCTGCTCTCAGTGAAGTAAACGTTGCTGGAGATCAATGAGGTACGTCCCGTTTTCTTAATCGTTTGACTCTGATCCAACAGATTGGTTACTGGAACGAGATGGACAAAATGGCCGTGACTAAATCAGATGTCTTTTCTAACGAATCTACAGGAATGGAAAACAAAACCGTGATTGTAACCACCATCCTGGTAATACTATACTGCAGATTTCGTAAAAAGCAATTAAGCAAATGTTTTATATGCTAATAAATCTACTTTAATATGTGGGTGTGTATGAGTGTGTGCCACTTAATTTTAGAGCTGCTTTTGTATATAAATACAAAGCCCTATTGCTGAACAGCGCTCTCTGCCTTTGTCTCTGTTCTCCAGGAAGCTCCGTATGTGATGTTGAAAAAGAACTCTGACCTTTTTGTCGACAACGAACGCTACGAGGGTTATTGTGTAGATCTGGCAGCAGAGATAGCGAAACACTGTGGCTTCAAATATCAACTGAAAATAGTCGGGGATGGAAAATATGGAGCTAGAGATGCTGAGACCAAGATCTGGAATGGAATGGTTGGAGAGTTAGTTTACGGGGTGAGTAACTATTTTATTTTTATGCTGTTAAACAGTACATGTTAACACTATTCATTTACCAGTGTATCATTTCTTCTTTGTGTAGAAAGCCGACATTGCCGTCGCCCCTCTGACCATCACTTTAGTGCGAGAGGAGGTGATTGACTTCTCCAAACCCTTCATGTCTCTGGGAATCTCCATCATGATCAAGAAACCACAAAAGTCCAAACCAGGAGTCTTCTCTTTCCTGGACCCACTGGCCTATGAGATCTGGATGTGTATCGTATTCGCCTACATAGGTGTCAGTGTCGTGCTCTTCCTCGTTAGCCGGTTCAGCCCATACGAGTGGCACACAGAGGAATACGAGGACGGGCAAATTCAGACCAATGAGTCGACCAATGAGTTTGGCATATTCAACAGCCTGTGGTTCTCACTGGGAGCCTTCATGAGACAAGGCTGTGACATCTCACCCAGGTAGGTCACAACAAATTAACAAGTTTAAGAATTAAATGTTTATATATATATATATATAGAGAGAGAGAGAGAGAGAGAGAGAGACAGAGAGAGAGACAGAGAGAGAGAGAGAGACGTTGTTTCTTTCACCTTCGCTTTAAAGCACTTAATACATTTCTCTCACTGCTGACAAAATATTTACCGGTTTACACTTCACTTGAAAACTGAACAAGGAAGACAGCATAAGACAGCAGCGGCTCAGAGCGACAGATAAGGTTGAGCAGTTTGGAGATAAAGTCAGAGAGGCAAATCTGGGATGGTTGCTGAGCAGAGATAGTGGATATATTGAACAAAAGATGGAGTTGCCAGTCAGGTGAGTAAAAGGAAAGTCTCAGATGGGGGCAACAAAAAAAAAGGAAGCTGCCAAGCCAATGTCGCCGATATGTCGCCTCAGCACAATATCCAAATGTCCATCTAATTTTTTTTTTCCTAACTCCATCCCAGAACTGCTCAACCTTAGATGTATCTCTAACTTGCTAATTGTATTTGCAGATTTGCAGAAGTGTTACTGTCTAGTTTAAAAGACAAATTGACAATATATATATATTCAACAGATCTCTGTCTGGACGTATTGTGGGTGGTGTCTGGTGGTTCTTCACTCTGATCATCATCTCCTCCTACACGGCTAACCTGGCTGCCTTCCTGACCGTCGAGAGAATGGTTTCTCCCATTGAAAGTGCAGAGGATCTGGCCAAACAGACTGAAATAGCATACGGGACTCTGGACTCTGGATCTACCAAAGAGTTCTTTAGGGTAAAAAATATATTTATTGTCTTATACATGTGTCTTAAAAGATCCAGTTTTCCAATTTTTTAAATGCCAATTTTTCTTTTCTCTCTTAATTTGTCACCCCTTTAGCGCTCCAAAATTGCTCTCTTTGACAAAATGTGGACGTACATGCGCAGCGCCGAGCCCTCTGTGTTTGTAAAAACCACAGCAGAGGGCGTCGTCAGGGTCCGCAAGTCCAAGGGGAAGTATGCCTACCTGCTAGAGTCCACCATGAATGAGTACATCGAGCAGCGGAAGCCCTGCGACACCATGAAGGTGGGAGGCAACCTGGACTCCAAGGGCTACGGGATCGCCACACCGAAAGGATCCTCATTAAGGTGGGTGGAATAGTATAACAATGTGTCCAATGTTGTTATAGTATCCCACCTACCCTGATGTAGCTTTGCTTATGTGTCCCTGGTTTGTATCAGGAGATGATGAGGTAATGCCTCCTACAAATTTTAAAAAAATGAATCATTGCAATTTATTGTAAGTCGATAAATTGCAAAACAAAAAGTTATTTCTTGTTTTTATTGATTTGACAATTGGTTTATGAGTACCCAGTTTATTATTATCAGTATTATCATGAAACGATATGTCGTCTATGACATACAATGCAATACTACTGCCAAGGCTGGACTTAATCTGGGTTTAAAAGTGAGTAATTCTGAGTAATTTTTCCTATTCAGGACTTCTGAATATCATTGGATGTTAATCAAACAAATTTAATGAAAAATCTTAAACCTTTTTATAGTCCTATATTCTCTTGATCTAAATTTAAATTCCTCCTGTAGAAAAGCTGCTCTGCCCATTGTCCTTTTTCATGTTTTTATATGTTTAACGTTGTTGCTCTGCTCTTCTCCCGTCTGATCAACTTTGAATATTTGATTAATTTCTATGCTGATGATAAGATACGTTTAATAAGTGTTTCTAGAAATGTCTAATTTTGCTGTTTTAAAACCCCTGCAGTACACTGGGTTTTTTAACAATTGCTAAATATTTTCCTTTGTGGAAAAACCATTGGATGAAGTCAAAACCATTTGTACAACATTTTGATTGTGGCACTGCTGGGGTTTTGTATATAAAGTAGAATAATGGGCATTGTTTTATGCTGATTTCTAAAAGCCCCAGTCCACACAGTATTTTTAACTGTTCACTGGTTAATTGGTAATTTCCTCCCTTTTCCTTCCTTCATCAAACCTACAACATAACCACACTTCTTATTTCTGGGTAACTGGGTGTCACCAGGCATGTCCAAAGTTGGGCTACGGGGTTAATGAAATTTGTTTTTTTCACTACCAACTTTAATCATTATAAATATAATTGACAATGCATTACTGAGCAATTACTGAAATTACTTTGCAGTATTTACGTTTTTTGTTTGACTTTACCCAAATTAAGATAAGTATTTGGCTAATGCCTAGCTATTTCTAAACATACCTGTTGTTTTCCAATGATTCCTTGGATAACAAAACTTAAGGTAATATGCACAAAAAAGGCAAAATATTTTGTAGGAACATGCTTATACTATCTGGAGGGCTTGAATCAATTTCACTATAATATTCAATAACAAGCTCACATGTGTTTGTTCTGTTTTCAGTGCATAAATATCCCACATTCTTTGGTCTTAGAAAAATTGGGTTATGTTTTCATCAACTACAGATTGCCCTGTTGAACAGTTTGGACATCCCTGGTTTAAATTATTTAAAAAAAAAAAAAGAGTTGCATGTTTTTTTGCATATTCCTATGAGTTCTAATCACTATTCACAATACTGCTCTTTTGCTGTTTCTCTTTTTAGTGGAGTCACTTTCCCGACACTGTTTTATGTATGTTGTGGATGTGAGTACGTTGCTGTAGCTGCTAGTCCCCCCAGTCTTAGCCCTCTTTCCTTTTTAAATGTTTTTCGACTAAGCTCTGCCACCTTTTCACATTTGCCACATTTGATCTTTGTTAATAGAATAGCTATTTATTATAGAGATACCTAACTGCTATAGGGTGGGTGGCCAGGTTAGTGGTAGACATTTGTGTTTTCTAGAGGGCTTATATTTTTGTTAAATCTCTAAAGTGAGGGAGTAATAGAGTAATGGATAAGTGGCTCACCCTGTCTTACAAGTATGTTTTATCATTTCAAGAAATGCGGTTAACCTCGCAGTACTAAAACTGAATGAGCAAGGCCTGTTGGACAAATTGAAAAACAAATGGTGGTACGACAAAGGAGAGTGCGGCAGCGGGGGAGGTGATTCCAAGGTCAGCCCCAGTGAGCAAAGTGATGGTAACCCATGCAACTTCCAAAAAAAAAGTAAGCAGCAAACCAGGGCAGGATCCAAAAACATACTTGGTGCAGGCATTTTCACCTGCTGAATTAGCTACTTGTAAATCACGGAAAATGCACATATTTAAGTCTCTAAAGACACAATACATACATAAAAGTCCAGTGGTGTGGACTCTCCCTCATCTTAACGTACCTAAATGCATTATAGCTGTCAATCTTGCTGCTTACTTCCGGTGATACGTTAATGCACATTTGGCTCTGCAAAACTCGTGTTTGCTTAGGCCAAATGGCGCATCAACGTCCATTGCCACTCCTAAAAAAAAAAATAGAAAAAGAAGAGAAAGAAATGTAAGAAAAGAGAATCAAAAAAGACAAAGAGAGAAAAAAAAAAGTTTATTCAGTGTAAATGTAATAATAACATAAAATAACATTGATAATGTTATTTATGTTATTTCCCACGTGAAGAACTCCTGTAAACCTTGCAGTATTGAAACTCAGTGAACAAGGCATCTTAGACAAGCTGAAAAACAAATGGTGGTACGATAAGGGTGAATGTGGAGCCAAGGACTCTGGAAGTAAGGTTAGTCGCTGCAGGTTCTATGTGATTTAAGCATACTCATGATAACATTGGTGGGAATGACCCCATTTAAAGTAATGATAAATACTATCAAGCAAATGCACAACATAGCATGAAATGCCTTGAAAAGATATACTGTACTAATGCCTGCAGATCTACTAATGATTAATACCATTGATGTTATTTTGTAATACAGTAATGCATGCAGTGTCAGTATTAAAATGTGCATTCTTGACCACAAAAAAAATCCTTTTTTTCAGCCCCCCTCTTCCAAAAAATAAACATGAAAAACTTTTTTCTTACAAAAAAGTTTTCAAGAGCTATTTCTAAATTTAGGAATCATAGACTGGACATGATGTCACATAAAACACTTTCATAAGTCTGAGAGTTATTGACTTTTCTCTGGACCATCTATAAAGGGTGTCCAATGGTGTCAAACGTCCTCTTCTTTGTACCTGTCATCTTTCAATGTTTGAGTCTTGTGTTTTGTTTTTGTGCTTGCGTGGCCCCATCGTGAGTTTACTACGATGTCAACAGAGTGATTCTTACAAACCCGAGTCTCCAGTGACTTCAGTCACTTTAAATGTTTCACAAATTACTAGAATACCACCAACTGTTTAAACGTCTACCAATCAGCTTTCTTCACCTCTTTGGTTAAACTAGAGCAAATTGAATATCTGTTAATGAAATGATCCAAGTGAAAAAAGAACATGAACACTGATTCTCTTTCCTCAGTTGGCACTTGTTTCTTTTCCTTGACAATTAAGTCTCACATCTGTCTTGTCATTGGAGGCATAGAACTGCTACATGGAATTAAAACAAAAGTGCAAAGCTCTTCCCTGTTAAGAGACTGAGTAATCCCAGCTCTAGAGTTATCTCATACCCTAGATAGAACATATGTAATGCCATAGACCAGTAATGTGAGTGAAAAGTGAAAGTGAAAACATAATAATTACCCTGAGCTACTCCCCTAGGTTTGGGTAGATGTGGTTAACACAGCTGGTTCATCTTTTTTCAAATTTTAAATGTTTAATGGCATGGCCTCAATAGCTAGTAATCATATTGTTAAGTAATCTATTATGTTGATTAGAGTTCTTCAATATGTATCACATTACTGTATAAGCTGAAAAAAACATGTTGTAATAACGAGCTACAGCACAACAATTCCTTTCCCCTGGTAGCAGTTCTGTGCTTCCACGCTTAACGACCCTTTGACCTTCAATTATATATATATATATATATATATATATATATATATATATATATATATATATATATATATATATATATATCTGTGTTGTTCATGGCTGTAATGTTGTCACTTCTCCACACACAGATAAATTGCACACCACTTTGCTAAGGTAGAGCCCCATGTATCCATTTGCCTCCACCTTAAATGAATACATGGGTGTTTTATGACTGACTGAAACTCAGTGTACTGTATGTGTCAGAGTCCGACTGCTTTGATACCAAGCTGTCCTCCCCTCTTGTCTCTGTCTATAAGTTGAGGTATTTGTTAACGGCTTAACCCTCTGCACTGGGCAACCCATGTAAATGGTCCTTGCACAGTACAAATTTGTACAATAGAATTGCAACACAACTGCATCTACTTTCAATTAGAACACCAACCTTTGACCCTCTTGCACTGCACTAGAACCAATTCCAAATGGAAAGCCACCTGTGTGTATTTTGTTTTGTGAAATGCGCTGTACGTTTTTTTTTTCACATATATAAATATTATCCTTGATATAATGGTGCATTTTGTGCATTTTAGTTTGTTTTGTGCTTGTGATATTGTTTTATTTCTGTTCATTTTATAAAAATCTGACCGTTTGCCATCACCGCCCCCCCCGCTGACTTCTTTTTCGTATGCCCTTCACAGGAGAAGACAAGTGCCCTAAGCCTGAGCAACGTGGCTGGGGTCTTCTACATTCTGGTTGGAGGACTCGGCTTGGCCATGCTGGTGGCCTTAATTGAGTTCTGTTACAAGTCCCGAGCCGAGGCGAAACGAATGAAGGTGGCAAAGAATGCACAGAATATTAATCCAACTTCCTCGCAGAATTCTCAGAATTTTGCAACTTATAAGGAAGGTTACAACGTATATGGAATCGAAAGTGTAAAAATTTAGGGGGTAGGGAACGAGGCTTTCATAAATTCCCCCCAAATGCACGCTTTTTTGGCTCCATCCCTTCCATCCTTCAGTGTTAGTGAATGAAGAGGTTGGCCATAGGATCGTATGCACTGGTGACTTATGATTTAATAATGAGAGAGAGAGAGAGAAAGAGAGAGAGAGAGAGAGAGAGAGATAACCCCTTTTTTTAAAGTTTTAAAATTGTGTTTGTTCATTTAAGTTTTCTTCCTTTTTAAATCATTCCCATGTATGACTGTTGATGGCCATGTCTGGTAACGTACATCTGTCTTACAGGGCTGTCACTTTTTTCGAAAAAAAAAAAAAGAAATGTATGTCAGTACATTTTGAATATTTGAGTCAGTATTTACAGCACTTTAAATCAGTCCCTTCACAAGTAGAAACACCTTGAACAAATCGTAGTACAGACTGCCTGCTTTTAAAGCCTGATTACCAAAAACCTGGAGAGACAGTAACTATTCCATCAGTATTCTGACTTCCAGTGAAAAGTGACAGCCTGTCTGTCTTGTAGCATCTCATTTAACAGTATAGTGCTTGCCAGTGATCATACTGTATATATATATTTTTACAGGATCATGTGTACCGTGTATTGTGTTGCCCATTGACGTCATATTGTGTTCTCATCTACATTCTCATGTTTTTAACATCAATAATCTCTTACATTTACTGATGTGGAAAAGCTCAGAGCTAAAGATTATTGTTTGTCTGTGTGTGTGTGTGTGTGTGTGAATGGCTTTACGTCTGTGTCTGTGCGGATGTCTGTCTTTTTAGATGACATTCGGGGACGCCATGAGAAATAAAGCGAGACTTTCCGTCACTGGGAGCACAGGGGAGAATGGTCGGGTGATGACTCCAGAGTTTCCTAAAGCTGTTCACGCCGTCTCTTATGGGAGACCTGACATGGGGCTAAACGTTAGCCTGACAGATCTTTCTTGATCAATGAAAAACTTCTGAGTGCCTTACAATGGTTTAAGTAAAGTGATTTTTTCCCCCTTCTTTTTGCTCCTTTCCTCCTTTTTCCTTTCGGGCACTTTTCCTGTCTTTGTCAAATGAAAATGGAAAAGTTGGAGATAAAGATTTTGTCTTACACAAAGACTTGTGATCCTTTCCTATTTAATATGTCTCCTTTGTTGGGTGGAAATAAATTTCAGGATATGAGAAGAGAGCTTTTTTTTTTTTCTAGACTGATGACACAACGCTTTCCTGTCTGGACTGGACTGAGGCAGAATTGAGGGCTTGTTTGTGCTGGGAGTCGGTTTCAATGATCTCCGCTTTGGGTGTGTGTTTAAGTGTGTGAGTGTGTGTACATATACATATATACACGCACACACACATTATATATGAAGACCATGTGTTTGTGTGTGCGTCAGAAAAAGATGTCATCAAATAACACACTGTTTCTGTAGCCACCACTGCTGAACAGGACTTTGAAGCACACTTGATATCATCCACATTAAGATTTGTTTTTTATTTCTAATAAAATTATAAGAAAAGATTATGAGAAAAAAAAATATTTTTATGTATTTTCACAAAATACGCTTTTACATAAACTTGCTACATACTGGTTAAATGTAAACCTGTAAATGTATGAGTGTTAGCAAAGAAGTAATACTAAACAACTTCTAATTCTACATTTCACATAAAAAGCCAAAAACATCACATGTGGGGACGAAATGTTGAAATCATAATTACTCTTATTCTAACTTTCCTGTATATTTTATTATTTGGTGTTGATATATAAAAATATGTCAATGATTCACATTTGGAATCAATCTTTCTGTGCTTTTGTCTCTTCGTTGGCTTCAGTGCTTTTTTGCTGTTTGTATTTTTTCCAGTTAAGGACCAGGGTAGATGTTCTGCTTTTAAAAAAAAAAAAAAAAGGAAAAATAATCTGTTTACACGCATTACTGCAAAACACACACACACTGATAGACTGAATTATCACGTTAGTACATTTTATGGTGCCATACGGCGCATCAACGACCACATCGTTCACTTTGGTGGGTTTGAAATGCCAAATAAGTGAGAGTGCCAAAATTCTAGTGCCAGTAGTTATGAATATAGTCCTTATATAATCAATCACTGTCATCTCAGTGAATGTAAATTCTGCACATCCTGTATTTTTTATTTTTTTTGTACCTAGATGTACAGTCGGTGGCATTGGCAGTGCTATAACTACAGACCGTCAACTCTGTTTGACATTCTCCATGTTGCTTTTTAATTGCATTGATTTGACATTAAAGTAACATCAGTTGCATGTAGTTTACAACGATTGTGTTTATTACGTTACGGCTGCCAAACATGCATTCATCATCATTTAAATGTTGAAGTTGTGTAAGGTGATGTTTGAAGTTGGAAATACAATATAATACATATAAACAATATTATATAAATATATATAAATATAAACATATATTTTATATAAAGACTATATATAATTAATAATTATAATTATTGCTTCTATTAATACACAACATCACAAAAATCACAACAGTTTTTTTTTTATTTTGGAAAACATAGTTGAGCACTTTTTACATTTTTTGTTTCCTAAAGTTGACGAATAAGCAACAGTTTGTTGTTGCAAAAAGGAGATAAAGTATGAAGTTTTCATCACTCGTGTTTTTGTAATAAACAATACAAACATGTCTTGTAGTTTCATCCCATTTTCAGGCTATTCCTGACATTTTGTATATGGAATGTGTGCTAACTTGTTTATTTTTGGGACTCTTTCTAAATAAAAGTTGTTGATCTCATCACTGCATGTGGAGTCAAAAATCACAACAGAAGCAATGAATGTGATTATAGTAAGAATGGACACATTTGAATTTCAAAATTGGTTCTGACTTTGGACACATTTAAAGGCAGGCTAAAGCTTATTATAGCTATAAAATGCACATTTCAGCCTGGAATGTCAATAACAACTGTAACAGAAAGAGAGGTAATTATTTCTATGGCAACCTGCCATGAAGTCTAATTTTCCTGGAACAAGTTCACTTCTATATAGCCAAATGAAATTAAATCAGGGGAAAGGTTCATGAAGATGTGATTTTAATAAGTGACATGTGATAACTCATACATTTATGGTAACATTTATGATATTCTAGACTGCACTGTATTTGACTGATGACAGTTGATTGCACAGATAGTACAGATGCTAGTTCTTGAGCCACACAGGTGTCACATACTTTACTCCATTTGTTCTTGTTAACACCATCACACTGATGACTCACTCCCTGCCTTAACTTCCTGTAGTGTGTCTGTTAGGTTCAAGCAGAAACAGGACGTAGGGGGCACTATAGCCAGTATACCCAACAGGAACTGAGTCATACTTCAGGAAAACAGGCCAGGCAGGAACTCAAAGGAAAAACAAAAGAACCATAACAGTAAGCACTATGAAACCGTCCTGGAGTGACAGAACATGGAATCACAGAAATGACAGGAATCATAATCTCAAACACACAACCCAACCAAGAGTGAAGGAGAGAGGTATTTACTACCCAGGTGAGCAGGTGAGGCTGATTGACCAGGAGAGACAGACAGACCTGAGAGTGTTCCCAGCTCTAGTGGATTAATGAATATTAAGACTATAACAGAGTTAGTAACACAAAGGATTTGCAATATAATTCATACTTTATTAAAGGTTTTAAAACATGAAAGTACACAACTGTATTTCTTTAAATGTAGTTAATCTTTTAACGTTGATTCAGTGATGAAAAAACCCTCACCAAGTCAAACTGGTGTTCCATTTTTCCTTCTTAACAATGTCACACAACAGTACTATATATTACAGTATTATTTCCATCAACATTTAAAATATTGATTAAACATTGATTTGACAGGTTAACAATACTTTTAAGTATACTACTTGGCTTTGTATATTATTTGTCCCGCAATTAATATGTGTGTGCTGCTCCAGTTCTGTACTACCGTAACTTCATCATCTGCACAGCGGAGCCAATATTCCACCTCCACTCTTCGCTGATATGCTGATCTAAACAGTTTGGCTCAGGTTTAAGGGGAGCAATAGCTCACCATCTGGTCCAAGGAGAAATCAAAGAACTCAGCAAGTAGACACATCTGGTCAGTTTTCAAAACTGTGGGCTGACTGGACCAGACCTGACCAAACAGCGTTTTTGTGCTGGTTAGCATGATTTTCAGGCATTTGAATTTCAAGTTCATGCATGTTAAAACCTTATTCCATTAAAGTTCCAGTGTATTTTCTTGAATAATTACCAAGTATAATTACTTAATTATTGTTTCATTTACCAGACAATATTTTGCAGCATTCCTTTTTTTTTACTGGTTATATGGAATGTTTTTAATAAGAATTTAAACACCTGCGTCGTACGCTTGGTTTTCTGGTCATGTTCTTAGAGGAAAACCAACCGTTTTCCCCTGGTTAATATTAAAGCTACAAAAGTTACTTTAGTTTTTTCTTTCCATGCAGGTTTTTAATTTTGTACTTCCACACAAATGAAAACTGTGTATGTTTTTAGAATGAAAACTGCAGCCCGAGGTCTCCTGCCATTTAAGGCTTTTAAAATTGCTCTTTTAATTAATAACAACCAGCATTATTTATTTATTTATTTATTTTTTATGAACGTTAGAGATGCTACACTCTTGTTCCAGGTGTTGTTGAAAAAAGAAAGACATTCAGGACAATTCATTAGCTTTTGTTGTGGGAAGATTCCTTATTGGAGTAACATCCCACAGGAGTGACACGACCATTTATCAGGCTCAACACCTGTGTGTATTCAAGTGTCCTTAAGGGCCATTGGTTTAGCCAATCATGGCATAGAGGGGTAGTTAACCAAAATGAATCTTCAGTCATATGAGCCATCACCTACGTCTTCTTCCCTGCAGCTCCTCACATTGCTGACAGCGAATGGACGTCCACATAGGATCCAGCCTGAGCCGAGGCTAATGAAGACAGAGCACACCAGCAATGTCCTGAATCTGCCGTCAGACACAGGATGCATAAATGGCACAGTCAGGACCTTATTTCATCTTCAGGGTTAATAAATCACCATCTTCCTCCTTCCTGGCTTCATTAAGTGCAACAAAACCACACAGAAAAGACCAAGCTGATGTAATGGAGCAGATTTAAGGTATGATCTTGTCTCTTGTTAAATGGTTAAAAATGCAATAATTTCAGTTCAACCTTTTCATGACAAAGCATAATTATCTTAAAACAGTACAGTTTGTTTATTTACGTTAAAAAATAAGCTTTCTCATGCCATTAGTTATGTTTAAAGTTTATGTATTATACTGGTTCCAAATTATCTGCAGATGAACTGGTAGCATTCAGCAAAACAACACTTGAGATTAAGAGGACGGAGAATTTTGCTCAGACTGACATTAAAAAAAAAAAAAACCTCTGATTAATTAATTTCAGTGACAACAGTCAGGAAATATTTTCTTACACAAAGGGTTGCCAAACTTTTCCTTGCCAAGGCCCCTTAAACAGCATTATTTTCTGGTCGGGGACCTACAGACAATGCTGCAAAACCGCTTTTTTTACACCACCGTAGAGTGGTGCCAAGGTTACAACTTGTTATTGGTGACAATCATTTACTCAGTGGGCTGATTATTTGACCTCAATAAAATCATTGTGATTAGGATCATTAAATCCTAGCATTCAAGCATTCAAAGCATTCAAAAGTTAGGGTGCTCATTAGTTAGTGGTAATTAATCATTTTAATTGAGTGATTAAGAATGTTTCCAAATAAATATTTACTCTCAGGACAATAGCCGTGCAGAAACGACGCATGTTTTGTGAACGTTAGGTGTGTTGTCGCTGCATGTTTTCCAACATTTCAAGATGGATGGTATTTGATTGACTTGTGGAGTTAATTAACTTAAAATGTCTGTTCCTGCCAGCCAATCAATCACCTGGTTGGCAGAGAGAATATGCAAGCTAATTAGTGCTGTGACAAGAAGAGGGATGATACTGAATGTATCAATGCAGTCTTTTCAACAACACACAGGGACAAACCCAGCATCTGTTCGGGCAGCAATGATTACCAGAAATGAAACTGACAATGAAAAATAAATCATTTAAATATTTTACCTCAAGGACTAAAAAATATCATTTAGTACTCATTGTCAAAATGTTTTATATTTTGTAATACATAAAATCAAATTTTGAATCCCTTTTTGGCCTTTGAGAGAAAAAATATGGCCACCCCTGAGGATGCCCATGGAGAGACATGCTTTTGCAAACAGGATGCCCCTATGGCTAAACGTTACCCCGGAAAATGCTAGAAATTACCTTAATAAATGTAGTTAAATGTGTCAACTTAAATGTAACAATGAGCTAGGACCAAAGATTACTAAGGTAAATTCTAATAAATAATTGCCAAAGTTAGCCAATAAGTTAGTTACCAATTACCCCAAACATAGCTGCATGGATGAGTTAGTGCCAGTTAGTAGAAGATGTATCGTCATTGTTTTAGCATAAACCACATTAGCTAAAACACATTTAAAATAATGTGCTCTAGAGAGCAAATGAAATTACTCCGGATGAAATCCTTGGCTAACTATATTTATATATATATATATATATATATAAAACTAGTTATAATTAGTGATGTTGCCACGGTGTTGAATGCAGCTCTTTTTTCACTTGTCATATCTTCTCTGTGCATGACAACCATGAGACCACCATCCAAACACTGCCAACACAGTGTTTCACAGGCAGCCTAGTAGGTGGGTGTTTAGTTTTTTTTTTTTTCTTTTCTCTAAAACAGTTATCCTCTGGCTGCGTTGTCATGGCAACAGTGTGAGATGGGCTCCTCATGTTCCAGTACAGCGTGTCATTCCTGTAGCTTCATGTCGGAGCACTGGGGATGGGGGATGAGGAGGAGAAGGAGGATGACAGAGATGCACAGTGAGGCAT